TCCCGGGTTCAAGCAATTCTCCCACCTCAGCCTCCAGAGTGGCTGGGACTACAGGCACACACTACCATGCCTGGCTACGTTTTGTAATTTTTGTAGGGATGGGGTTTCACTGTGTTGCCCAGGCTAAGCTCAAACCCCCGGGCTTAAGTGATCCGCCTGCCTCGGCCTCCCAAAGTGCTGGGATTATAGGTGTGAACCACCACACCCAGTCTGGGACTCCAAATTTTAACTCAATTGTCTTAGCTAAAACTGGGCTGCTCAGCTTGGAGAGGAAAAGCTCTGAGGGGGCCGGAAGAGCTGTTCCCCACAGACAGAGTGGCTGTCCTGGGAGAGGGCCTGTTGTCATAAGTCTGGATACCCATACCTCCTGCTGGCTCTGTCCAGAGGCCTTTGGCCAAGCCTTTCCCCTGAGGCTCACCTGCCCTCTCCCAGACCCTAGCCACTCTCCCCTCACACACTTCCTCCAGGCTTAGGCCAGAGGAATGCGGTGTGACCCTGCCAGCCAAGTGGGAGTCTGGCGGCTTTAGAAGTCAGGAACAACCAGAGCCTGCTTCTCTCCACTGGCCTAAAACACCCTGTTCTCTACGTGTCTGTGATGAGGTCTAACTTGGCTCCAAAACCCCTCCAGGGAAAAGGCTGGGCTGAGGTCACTCCCAACATGGCTCAGCACTAATCCTTCACATCTGGACAAAACTGTGCTCTGTGCACCCCGGAGCAACTGTCCATGAGCTCATCGGGGCCTCCACGGAGTGCATCTGAGAGAGCAAGCTTGGAGCAGGGCCTGACATTGTACTGCCTGCTCCCTCCGCACTAGTGTCCTCACCACAGCGCTGACTTGAACGCATCGTGGTAGAAAACATGCTGGAGACCCCTGTTCTCAGCCTGGTTCAGCCACTAATGATTGTGGGATTGTGAGAAAGTTTCTTCTCCTCCCTGAGCCTCTGCTGCCTCCTCCATAAAATGGGGTAGGGTAGGCCCGAGGCCCTGACTCCCCTGTGTAGTGCATCCTTAATTCTTCTCTGTCTTTTGGAGGCTGCAGAGAGGCCTCAAGAGGCCTACAAGAGCTGGGCTCAGTGGTTCACACCTGTAATCCCAGAGCTTTAGGAGGCTGAGGCAGGAGGATCGCTTGAAGCCAGAAGTTTGAGGCCACCCTGGGCAACACAGTGAGATTCTGTTTCTACAAAATAAATAAATAAATAAATAAATAAATAAATAAAAATAAAAAAAATTAGCCTAGATTGGTGGCATATACTTGTAGTCTCAGTTATTTGGAAAACTGAGGCGGGAGAATTGCTTGAGCCCAGGAGTTTGAGACTACAGTCAGCTACGATTGCACCACTGCACTGCAGCCTGGGTGACAGTGAAAGACCCTGTCTTGTAAAAAAAAATAAAAATAAAAATAAAATAGTAGACACGCATATGCACCCACAGGGCAGTCAGTGGCTCAGACAAGGGGAGTGGAAAAGGCTGAAGGATTATGATGATTAACCCTGAGCAGCCAAGGCTGTGGCTCCGCAGGGCTCCCTTCCTTCCTTTCCTCCTGCTCTCCCAGGCCCTGCCAGTTGGGAAATGGACCTCCTTGGATGCTGCGTTGTTTTCTCTGGCCTGGCTCCTGCTTGGGGCCTGATGTGCACCCTGGATGGTGGCCACGGGCGGGGCATCCTGTGCTGGTGAGAACAGGCTGCTGTGGGGCCTGGAGGCCCCACGGGAGGGCTGGGCTGGGCTGGCTGCCCCAGTTAAAGAGACGTGGCCGCTGGGTCCCATCCTCTGAGGCGGAAGTACCGCTCCTTCTACTTACAGGCCTTACAGGGAGACCTTTTTTATCTGGACCCAAACAGTAAGAAAGTGCCACAGCGCAGATGATTT